AGCAAGTCAAAGTGGACAGTGTGGTGATATATTTATGAGATCAATCAAGAAAATTAATCATCATAACTTTATCAAATTATCAGGAAACTTTAGTATAGCAGGAAATTTGAAATGCAGGTTTTCAGATCAATTGAAGCTCTTAGAGGCTTATGTATACTTATTAATTCAAAATTATGTCATCTTATTTCAAATATATTCTTAAGATCATTATAGTTTACTTACAAAGTTATTACAAAAAGATAGGAAAAGAAAAGATAAGAAAAATTCGAAAATATGGGTGTAAAAGTTGGAAAATGGTTTTTAGGGTATTAATAATTGAGTTATGGGTTTGTTAAGGTTAGAATATGAAATAACAACACTTTATTATACAGCACCAATTTTAATCTTGGAGGTTGATAAGGAAAAACAGAAGTTATTAGTAGAAAGGTACTTTTTCAAGGATGGTAAACAAGGGTTATACATGTAGTTTACATATGTAGTGGTGGTAGTGATGGAAATTAAGGTTGCCAAGAGGGTTTTCCGGGATTTTTAAGGTTGTAGAAGATGATGTCATATTACATGAGCAAGAAAAAGGGAGTAGCAGCTGTGGAAAGTGAAGAAAATGGGTGAATTTCGTCAAAAATGAAGGTTTTCAGCTAATTACATATGTCAAATGACGTCAGATTAGGTTGGTAGATAGCTCATTCAACGCAAAAGAGTGTATTACATAATGTACAAACTTTAAATCATTAGTAACTGAGGTTTATGTAAAACGTTACAGGGGAATAAGAAATTGGTGTGAATCTCGAATTTACAGTCACAAGTCAGCATGTAACACCAAAAACCTTAGGGCCCGTTTGGCTGGAACCCAAAAACAGTTTTTGGCCAAAAACCCCACCAAAGCCAAAAACCGTTTTTGGGTCAAAACAGTTTTTGGTTTTTTTCAAAAACGCCGGTGTTCGGCAACTTTGTTTGATCAAATACAAAAACCGTATTTGATCAAAAATTCATCGCTTTTGAAAAACAGCCTCAAGGCTGTTTTTCAGATCAAAAAGTCTTTTTGCCCCTCACCCTCCCTCACCTCCATCAATCACCTTCAACTCATCTCTATCTCTCCACATGACAACACCCTTTCATTTCCTTCACACACCCCTCTCCGTTACTCAGCTTTCTTTTCTATTGTTCTCGTTTATTGACTCTATCATCATTTCAACAACTACTGTCGTCTTTTCATCGACTATTGTTGTCGTTGTTTACCAACTCTCGTCATCGTTCTTTATCAACTCTCTCGTTGTCTTTTTATCAATCCTTTTGTCATCTTTTTAAAAAGTCTATTGTTGTCTTTTATAATACAATAGAAGCAAATGAAAGACTGGGTCACTGTGACAGATGTACCTTTGCCAAAAGCTGAATACACACTAGATACAAGTTGCTCTATCTTTCAGCATCTCGACGGAGTTCAGATTATTTGTACAGAAAGCTCAAGTCTCCCTCATCATCTGCATAGGCCTATGGAGGTTGTCCAGGTGCAACTGTGATGGATGGATGGATCAATTTGAAAATGATTCAATCAAAAAAGTCTTGTCATTTCATCTTGAACAAACAGTCGAAAGGTGATCAATGGTCAACAATGATCATTTTGATCTTTTGTTGACCTTTTTGGTCGACTGTTCGGTAATCTAAAAAGGCCGAAAAACGAAATCTCTATCCGCCCCTCAAAAACTATTTTTCAGGGGCGGATAGAGATTTCGTTTTTGTGTAACAATTTTTGGCTAAATCAGCCGAACGGGCCCTTAGCTTCACAACTCAATATCTTACTCATCACTCATCAGAAATAGGTCATATGGGTGTCATAAATGATAAGTATCAAAATAGCTACAAGATGCACTATAGTAGATCAAAATTGGACCACATCTGAAAAAATTTCTAATCTCAAAAATTGGTTTGCAGCTAGTTTACAAGGAAAAAATCACCTGTATTCATCTTAAGAAGTGCTGTACAATAAATCATTGTGTCATTTATCACTTTTGGCTGTGAAAATTACATCATACATTAGTAACAAGATCATCACATTGTGTCATTACATGGTTTTTAGGGTTCTTTAGGCGGATTTGACTGGTTTTTGAGGCTGTTGACTATTGTAGAGGTTGTTACATGTGGATATAAGTACTCCTTGATGATTTTGGGATTGTTTTTCCCCTTTCTGCATCTTATACCTTTGTTGTAGTGTTATAAATCATCATTTATTTACTATATTTGTACTAAGATCACTTAAATCCGCCCCTTCAAAGCAAGGAGAAATTTATTTACGTGTGTCAAAGACTATAAGTCAATTTGGGAATAATACTTAACAACAGTATTGCTAGTAATAACATAGTGTGTGGACTTTTTTTGCGCTTAAAATTTGGGAATAATACTACACAACCGTATTGCTTTATTTCTCTGGTGCCTTTATCTTTTTCTCTGTTATCACAAAGTGGTCAGCAAGTGCCCTTGTGCTGGTTTCTTTGAAGAAGGCAGTCTTTAGACAACTTCTACTATATTACACGTAGTATATGATCCCTTCTTAGGTGTTGTAAAGCTCTTGTTGAGCTTTAAATACTACAACAGTCAAGATGTTCAATCCTGCAGAATTTCAGGCACTCCAGTGATTTGAACATCTTGAGGCTGGTTGCACCTCCAACTCAAAAACTGATGTTACCACATCCATCAAGATCTCTAAAAAAGTGCACAACACTCACAAGACAACACCTGGGAGCAGCTACATATTGTACACCCTTAAATTCCAAAGATGGACAGAATGTATCAGCAAAATTGTGAGGCTTAGCAACCTGGCCGCACCCCTTCTTGTTGTTCATTTTCTAAAGCCTCTGGCACAAGAATTTGTACGCTTCATTCCTCAACTTTCTGAACGCCTCTGTTGTTCACAAAGAAGATGAGTAATATTATGTGATTCAAGTTGAGGATGTTATTGGTCAGCTGGTGGTCATGAAGAACCCCAAAGTTGCAATTGATATTTAAGACACAACACTTTTCAGTGTTTGCCTAGCAGATATTGTGAGCCATTAAAGAGACATGATCTGTTTCTGTATATTATTTTTCCTATTATCCACTCTTAGGGATCTGTGCAAGATAATCACAACAAAGACAAAATGGATATGAAGTAAGATCGATATGTGCATTGTATTTGTTATATAGTTTTGTAATGATTTCCCTTGAACAGGGTTTGATGCCTGCAAGACAGCCCGTCAAATCCATCTAGCCAGTTTCCATACTTGACACTGTGTCACTCTGGATGTGTATCTGATTTCCAGCTGAAGTTACATTGAAATCTTATTTAAATCACTTTGAAATTGGCTTGAAATCCTCTTGAAGTTGGTGGTAGTCTCTCGCCTGCCAGTGAATTGTAGCAATACCTGAAGTGTCCCGCCACAAAAAGCAAAAGCAGGGCGGCTTGCTCCACCTGCGCTACAGGCCTAGCCAAAAAGTGGGTCCAAGCGCTCCTGGCTTTTCTGATCTCATATAGCAGATCACATTTTTAGTGAGGTGCTTGCAAGTCTTGCTGTGCTCTGAAGTTTGACACAATGTATCTAGCAAGCCAATTTGAAAGATGCTGAAAGCTGTTAAGAGACAAATACCAGAACATGCCTCTTTGAATAGTGGTTGATATTCTACCGCGCATGAATGACTGAGTTCCAAGGTGATTGTTTCCGCTGATTTATTACTGGATGTTTGTTTTACCTTCCATATATTTTTTGGCTTCTCCCTGCTCATTATGCATACACTTATTCTTGTGTTCCCCTGAAATCAAATTATACAACAATCTGCCCGCTCTGAGAACCAAATATTGTATGTGGTGGCGTGCAAGTGGTGCGGGTTTGTCTTGTAAGCGGAGTAAGAGTGGGATTTCACCCTGTTACAAAAAAAGAAGAAGTAGATCAAAGTGGAGCGCTTCAGGTTTTGCTAGTAGCTGGGAGCTGCAAAACCACTTGGGATGCAATGGCTTGAGCTCCAGATGTGTACAGGGTAAGGGTGAACGGTGGTTTTCACACACTGAGAGGTTTTCAAATGTGTGTTCACACGTGTGAGGTATGGGGTTGGGCAAGTGCACAAATTGGGGCTTGCCAATATTGTTGTCAAACTTGGCAACCAAAGGTTGACATGTGATTTTAGGCTTGCTACTGTGGATGCTCTGACAGCCAATTTGAGAATCATTGTACTTTTTAAAAAAGAATTGTGTCAGCAAACCCAACTTCAAATCAAAGCTTATGGGATTTGTGAGTCATGGTCATGAGCAGTACTAGACTCACTCTTGATTGGCCTCCTGTGATCACTGCACCTTGTTCATCACTTTGTACACAGCTGGCTTATTGAGGTTAGTAGCTTGAAGTTTGAGGAAGATTGATCAGGATCAGCAAGTGGATTTAAAGGATGAAGAACACTGCTTGTGGGGCAATCTGCTTCATTGTTTCACGTGTATCTGCATACTGGCCAAACAAAACCTCAGTCAGAACCAATTAATGGGTTTTGCCCTGCAGCACATTCCCAGAAAAAAACAATCATTGTCAAATTGGCTGTACCTCATGTGGTGGGCGCAAGCTTAGGAAAAAATACGCGCCCGGGAGCGCCTCGAGGGGTCAGGCGCGCCCTCATTTTGGCTGGGGGCAAAAGAAGGTGCAGGAGGCGCAAAAAAAGGACAAAAATTGGCCAAGTTTTTGATGATGGTCTGTCAGCCACATCTTCTACATCCCAGAAAACATTGATAATCTCATATTAACACCCTATAAACAAAAATCAACAGCAATAGTACAACAAAAATCAACCAAATCAAAAAAACAAAACAATGAACATGTGTTGCTATCAATGTAGTTTGAAATTTTGTTGTTGGGGTAACTTTCAATCCAGACTGTAAATGCTTCCACAACTGGAAGAATATGGTGTGGGGTGGTACCCATAACACACATTGATTCATTTGAAATGATTTGAAGGTGGAAGAGGGCTGATTTCAGCAGAAAACCTTGTAGATCACATGCTTAGGTTCATGGGCGCGCCCACTCCAATTCAGACCAAAAAAGATGCGCCTGGGCGCGCCCACCACATGAGCTGTACCACATCCAAGTTCATCCCCATTTCACTTTTGTCAAAAAAGTTCCTTCCTTTTTTTTCATCTACACTATTTTATGTCCCTCCCACCACTTATCCCTAATTTTTTTTTTCATTCCTGTTTCATTTTCATTCAAAAGATGTTGATCCATTAACAGGATTTGTTTCAATTTTCTAGTACAATTTATTTCATTGGTTTATTTGTTTGTTTTTTTAAACAAGAAGGCCATGTTCAGAAGACTCATTTCTTTGCAGCTTATTATCCTTTTCATTATACATGTGAGTTAACACTTTCAAGAAAAGTAGCCATTATTTTATTTTGTTAGCTTATTCTATATCTTTTTGTTATTTATCTTCTCACTGTAGCCCTTATTTTTGTTGGATGTTTTTTTCATTGTGTCCACCACCACCCCGTAGGGTGTTGTTATTATTATGGCAAGTTTATTACCCCTAGGCATTATGCCTCAGGGATTTTGCCCAAACGTGTTGCTCTTATGTATGTGAAAGCATTTTCACCAAGTTCCTGTATTAAGTTTACTTATTCACGTTTAAATTCCAGTTTTGTAAAACATCTTTTTGTAATTTGCTCGACTTCATATTTGATACTTGCCAGCATGTGTTGCTGGCCTCATCCCGAAATTTGCTTGGCCTACCAATTCAGTATTCATAACAGAGGTCAATCAAGTGCCGCATCTCCCAACTTTGACTTAGTCTTTTATAAGTGTGTGAAGCATTGACAAACCTCAAAGCTACTCGGCCTCTATGTTGATGTGTGCCTGGGCGGACCTTTCCACGTGCTGTTGCGCATTTTGACGCCAATTTCTTTGCCCAAGAAAAAAGATGGTGATCAAAATCAAGGCTGGAAAAGAAATGGATTTGGTCGTCTACGTGTTGTGAAGTTGTCCTGTGAGGCCCACAAAGCCTGCTGATCATCCCTTTGTTCCAAACGTAGGAACCTTTACTTTGACTGATCCAAAGGAAGGGAACTCCGAAAGTCAAGGCCGTGCATGAATTTGGGCTTAGACTGATCAAAGTCCCCCCCGCCCGAGTAGCTGAGGGACTTTGATAAGTTTGATTTGGGCTTGAAGCTGTCTTGAATAGATCTGAACGTTCACAATTGCATTGTTCGGATACGGGTCAAGTAATGTTTTGATCAGTGTGCAGGTCAAAAGCGCCCTGCAAGAATTGGCCTTGGGTTGATTTAGGAGTAGGTGGCATGCGCGCTCACATGGGAACACCGTGCAGTTAATACACTGTTTGGGAGTGATTCGTAGTGTGGAATTCAACACAAATCGTGAAAGGACGCGGTGTCCAAGCCTGGGATCAGGTTTTTGCTGAGCCCGCTATAATATTTGGTATCACGTTTGACCTGCGATTTAGAAAGTGGAACACGCTACTGAAAGCATTTTTCATCATAGTTGAGGCCTGGAAGCATTTTGGACAACGTACGTAGCTCAAAGAATATCATTCCTTTGAATCCATCTGATCGAGATTAGTGGACTGAGGGAACATTCACGCGCGGATTTGTGCATCTGACAGCCAGATTCTCAATCAAACCGGGTGACCCCGTCCAATCACAAGCAAATGCACCAGGAACAAGGTCGCGGCAGGAAAGCCGAAGTAGAATCAAAGAACGGGTGTGTTTGCAATTCGTACGCAGGGAAATCATTGTATAAGTAGAGGTCACTTTCTCCCATTCTCGATAATCCCTCATCACAATTCCTGTTGATTTTCCTCACACTATCCCATTTTTCCAAGCCTTTGGTCATTCAAATTCTCAAAGCTATCCCTTCTCAAAAAACTTTCATCATCCTAACCTCATCTCAAAGCTTCTCTCTCACTATCACATCATCGATCTTCACGCTTTTGTGTTACCCTGATAACGCAAACGCAAGCGTCAGTGTCGGCGCTTTCAATCATCTCATACTTCAATCATCCACATATAACCGGATTCCATAAAAAATGTCTTACCTTTTTGCAAGCTCGCCTTTGATGTTCGGCATCAATATATGGCAAGTAGTCAAAAGTACCATCACTCGTACTCAAGCAAAGCTCAAACATGTAAGCAACATCAACATTGTGCTGTGTATCAATCAGACGTTCAGATCACATACTAATCACTTGATTCCGATAATTTTCCAGTCAGCTGAGAAAAAGACTGTTCCATGCAGCATGCATATCTCGTCAAAATCAAACCCTGTCGTCGAGGTATGTTCCTTTTATCTCACTGGACAATCATCGCTGCTCGTACTGACATCCGATCCTCTTCAGACCTCGTGTATCTGCGCCAGTAGCTATCAAGTCAGAAATTTGAGGTGCGAGCTTCTAGCCGCACCCTCTGCATTTGACCAATGCCTTCCCGACATCATTGACGAGGCTGGATGCAAGGAGTTCCCGAAGACTCAGTCGCCGTCGAATGAGGAGAAAGAATCTTCATCAATCGACAATCTGCTTGCCCTTGACTCACTTTGCAAATCAACTTCATCAAGTGAAACTAACGAAGAAGTCAACTCGGAACCTATCGAAGTCCATAAACCAGAACCATCATCCTTCAAGCCGAACTGTGCCCCCTCGTCGTTTTTGGCTTTCCTAGAGGCATCTCACCTTGAAATGTCAGAAAGGCTTCGTAGTCAACAATCACCATCCACAACTTTGGACCTAGGATGCGCACAATTCAACTCGGCGTATTATCGCAGACATCCTCCCCCAAGTCTCCCCAAACTGAAACTCAATCAACCATCAAAAAAGCCTTTCTGCTGGAAATCAAAATTGGACCAAATCATGCGAGAATCAGGCGAGGAATGCGATGAGACGGTTGAAGAATCCTCCACAGCATTTGATCGAGAGTTAACTGGATCGTCTTCTTCAAATTCTCGTCACTCTCGCTCTTCAAGTATTTTATCAGATAGAACTTGCGTAGAATCACCTGAACTTGTCATCTCTTCAGTCAAAACACTTGAACCAAAACCCTTCTCGAGCACTCTAATTCATCCAGACACGCTCCCCCAACCTATTGTTGATGCCAAACCGATTCTTGCAACACCGTCTACTGTTTCGGCTTGTACACCCTCTTCATTTCTGGCTTTCCTAGAATCATCCAACTTGAAGATGATAACAAGGATGCAAGCAGAAAAATCAAAACAGTCGAACATGGACTTAGGATGTGTACAGTTCAACTCAGTTTATTACAGAAGAAATCCTCCTCCAAGCCTTCCCCGGTTGAAAGAGGTTAAATCATTGAAGAAGCCGTTTTGCTGGAGGACAACATTAGATGAAATGATGAAAGATGAAGAATGTGAAGATATAACAAGCGAGATGGTTGATGACACCAAGCCTCAAGTGTTCTCTCATTCCTCTCCCGTTACTCCCATTCCTCGTGCTCGTTCTTCAAGTTGTTCTTCTATCGCCACATGTGTAGAGGCGACACCTACTTCAATGTGTTCAAAACATGTTGTTTCATCAAATTCTTCTTTAGATCTTTCGCTTTCTTTATCATCATAAAAAGATATCATCCTTTAGTCAATTTTTTTTGTTTTCATCCATGAGGATTGTACATAACAAAACTATCATGTAAATTATCAACTTGTACTTAAATTTTTCATTTCCCTTTTCTAAAAATCTGCAAAACATTTCCCTTTTCACTCAACTTTCCCGTGCATCATGAGTACGACCCATTCATTTGAGGTTTAACGTGGCACTTGCATGATTTCCTCGTCTCAAAACATCTGACAGTTCTCTGCCCTTTTAAACTCAAGCTGTGGTCAGGTTCAATTGCTTCATGCAAGGGGACGACTATAGTGAGTTCCTCACTGCATGTAACAGAGAGGGCGAAAACCGTTCTCCCAGTGGAACACTTCCTAATCACTAGTGTTTGTACTGTAGACTTCATGGCTACTTTTGCCCGTTCACTTTTCTTATCCGATTCTTCTACATCTAAACTTCCACTTCATATTTTGAAGCTCGTAAAGGAAGTGTTCCTTATTTGACACAAGTTAAACTTCGAATCGAAAACTTTCCGAAATTACTCCAAGATTCGGTGTTCTCCATTAGTCGCCTGTGAAGGTTTACTGATTAAACTTTAAAGGTACTGTGCTCATTTATCCTTTTTTGTGCTTTCATCGTGATCTGAATATTTGAATCATATCTAGTTGTATGGAATATAATTGATATTGCATGATCTATTGCTAGAATCAGCATAAAGTATACGAATACATATGAAAAGAAAGATTGAGTTTTCTTTTCCTAATTTTTGTTCTAACCATTCCCAAGTCAGTATACTCCCCCAACAAAACTGAAATCAAAATCAAATCTCAGTTTCAAGTTTATGAGTACAATCTTTTAAATACAAAACTCACAAACTTGTTTTGAGTCGTTCTTTTTTTGTTAAAAACCTCGATCTTGTAACCACAATTTTAATTCTTTCGTAAATTTTCCACGCATGATGATTTGACGAATTCGAGGTTTAACAATCGGACGAGATTCTGGAAAATCTAAAATGATATGTTCTTTCAATTTCTATAGACCATCAAAAACATAAACAAAACATCAAGATCAATCTTCTACGTTTTGATATCAATTCAAGCTCTTCGGATTCGACTTACCTCAATATCACCATCAACTCTTTTCACCAGTGTCCAAACTTGACTTAATGCCGGTTTCATCTTTGAATACACCGGCAAGGTGCCAAAGGGTATAGTACGGTTCACATGATAGGCCAAAGGATTTTCAATTGTACCTAATGGTGCCCTCCAAAGCCTATCCGGGATGACATGCGGTGTTATTTGAACCTTGGTGTTCAATGAATTCGATCGGGCTGAAGCGGGTAAAGGACTTGATTGTTCAATATCTTGTTGATTGTGAGATGGTGATACAGGGCTTGGGTCGGTAGTGATACATCGTGAGGTACACGCTAGTCTGGCGTGATTTGTAAGTTGAAGGATCGAAGGGCGACCAAAGAGGACCCGAGATAAAGAAGCGATCATAGGTGTCATGGAATAAATGTCAGTGAAGCAATTGCAAGCTTGACTCGAAATTTTGAAAGTGTTGAGTGATAGTCCGACCCCGTCTGTACGGTACAGCATAGGACCGTACAGATACATGTAACCAAACCACAGGTTGACATTCGAAGTCAGCTTGAAAATTAAAATTAGAAATCATCAAAACACAACTGAACTACCAAGAAATGCTGAGCTGAACTCAAAGAACAACAAGAACAAGAAAGACAGAAATAAAGACACCACTATAGATTCATGAAAGTATCATCATTCAAGTCCAAAGCAGAAGTTTAATTCAAAAATATCATTTCATTCGATCTTATCAAACTTATCCAAAATGAACTTGCAAACACTTCTTCAACCACCACACTCGGCTTGTCAATCACTTCTCTCAGAAGATACTGGGTAAGTAAATCTGTCATAGCCTTCTGATCTAGAAATTCGAACTGACCACATGTTTGAATGCAATGAATCTAGTTACTGCTTTGTACCTGGGGTCCCTTTATCAATTCACACCTATTCTACTTCCAACTCAGTCCTTCTCTCGACATTCGACCTACCCACTTCATCCGATGCTACTAGACTTATCAACATTCACAAACATCCTCAATTTCCAAACAATCAACTGATCCTTGTAGCCTCAGATGGTACAATTTACATCTTTGATTTTGTCAAGTCATCTTTACTTGCTACTTATCACACTCGGCGCCCTCTTATATTTTCCTCCTTACGCATATCACCTTTATCGAATACTTCATCCACGACTCAATCGGTTGAACCTCCGACCTCTTTTACGTTATTGGTAGTTACCAAGAAAACACTTGATCCTGCTAGTTTGAATTCATCCAAGACGATATCACACTCCACTCGCACTCGTAGAAAGAAAATGCTTTCCACTCTATACGCCATACAGCTTAATCCTCTTGAAAAGGACGAGAAAAAGACCTCCACTACTACTGAAGGTACTTTTCGAATCATCAAGATCTTGAACACTGGAAGGGCAACTTGTTATTCATCTAGTTTATGCGGCAATTGGGTTGGAATCGTTACTGGCCTTAGTATTTGGGTCATTCGATTTCTTCAACCAAACCTCTTCGAATTCAGTAGTAAACAAACCAAAGAAATCGGATACCAAGTCGTACATCTACAAGCAGCAGAACTTATTACCAGCATTGCTTTTCCTCCTAGATCTCATGCATATCATTTTTCTTCAATGGGCGCTTCATCTACCGATGTATCATGCACACCTTGCGATTTTTTTGCAACCGGATCCATTACTGGTAGAATAGCGTTATGGCATGCACTTTCTGAAGCACAGTGGGCCACATTTATCAGAAAAGCAACTCAATCTCCTTCAGCTATCTTACCTTGTCCTACTTCAATATCGCATTGGCATGCTCATGCAGTTGCAGATTTAGCATTTACTAGAAACGGATCTTATTTAATTAGTGGAGGAGAAGAAGCCGTATTAGTCTTATGGAAACTAGAAGATTTTGAAGGAATCGGCCATGATTCGAAAACGTTTTTACCGAGATTAAAAAGTCCAATTATAAATTTAAATTTAATTGAAAAACTTTCAACCAATGAACCTGGTGTATTAGTCACACTCGAAGATCGAAGTATTTTACTTGTTAGTACTTCTACAATGACAGTGATGAAATCATTATGTTTACCAAAGATGCATCAATTACCTTCTCATAAAACAAATCAAGCTTGTATCATTACTTGTCTTTCACCTCCTATAGGGTCAAAACCTGATCCTTTACGACCATATAATAACATCATGCTTTTATCAACCCATCCTACTACATTACAAGTTCTGGACGGTGGATCTGGTGATATGTTGAACGAGGTGCATGTGCTTCCGAAAAATACGGTCAGTAGAAGGGACGAACGTCCAACTGTTGAACCGATTTTGAAATTTGTAGCCTTAGGAGGTCAAGGTGATCGGTTTATGGCAACGATTAATGTATGGCACGACGTCCAACGTGGATTCGAACCTGAAATCACACTTAAACTATGGGAAAGAGACTCCGAGAATCATAATGAGTACGTTTTTATCCAGAACATAAAAAAAGTTTCAACGTGCTAATAAAATTCATCTCGATCTTTCTGGTAGCTTCAAGTTGATCGGTCGGGTCGATAATCCTCACGAAGAAGAAATTACATCACTCAACATTACATCTGCAGTTTCTCCATCAGTTGTGACTACTTCATTAGATGGAACAATCAAATTATGGACCTCTACTAACGCAGACCCCGTCTTGAAGCCAACTGCCTCAAAAACGAACTCTTTTGAATGGTTGAAATCAACTTGTTTATCTTATCGAGATTTGAAAGCTCTAGACTCGACGTTTTCTGAGGATGGTACGGTGATGGCTGTACTTCACCCACAATGTGTTAGTATTTGGGATGTTCTTGGACACCGATTAATCAAGACTATCGGAAGTGGTTCTACTAGCCGATTGGGTGAATACAAACGAGTCAAATTTGTGGGATCTACGATGGATAAGTTGATGATCATGGGTAGTAGTGGACTTGGAATATATGAACTAACTAGTTCAAATGGTAAATTCATCAACTTCTTCTTAGAAATGTACTTCTTTCGTCTACTAATGTAAATGCTCTTTCTTTCGAATTTCATCAGAGATCGGATTTTGGAGTTCTTCGGTTCATCTAGCAGTGCGAATTCCTCATTCGGATTACATTGTGACCTTTGAAAAAACTATAACTAAATCTACACAAGAAGAAGAAGAGATCACAAGCAAACCAGATCGACAACATACACTCACAGTAATCGATGTCAGTTCAATGAAACCACTTTTTAGTATAAAAGTACGACCTACAAGAGCCGCGACATTTGTTAGTAAACCATCAACTCCAAAACCTGATTGGAAACCGACCAAAGAAGAACTTTTAGATGGATTAATTCTTTTAACCAATCATAGTGGATTATTAAGATTTGGTAAAGATGTATTTGATCAATATGCAGCAGCAGCAGCGGCTAAATCACTCGAGTCTGATTTGACTATCAAAAGTCATTTACCATTTAAAGATCTTTTAAGTCAACCAGAAGAAAACGAGTTTGAAGAATTATTAACAACTACTAATACATTAATCTCAAATCAACCTAATGCGGATTTAATTGAAATGTTTGAAACGATCCTGAAAATGCCACCTCATCTTATTCCACCAACAAGAATGATTTGGAATAAACTTTTAGTACCTACACCGATATCTAATTCTAAAGTTGCATCAGATCATAAAAAATCGTCAGATAAGATTGAAGAAGGAAAAAACGATCCGGATTTGAGAATTGAGAATGAAGAAAGAATTGGAATACCTTTACCTTCAGTAGGTCAAACTCTTGATATTAATCAAATTCCTATTCCTTCTACTGGTATGAAACCTATCACTGTCGAAGAATTACAAACAACAATACCTATTTCTTTCAAATAATTTGCTTCTAAAGACCATCATGGAAGGATTCAGGAATAAATTGAGTTTGGTTCTTTTGTTGATAAGTCTTTTGTGATTACGTTTGATGATAATGGATTAAATTCTTAGGGAAAGATTTTGGTTGCATGTAATATACTGATCTTTTGAACCAAGTTTTACAATCACATTGGATGTTTTTGAGACTTGAATGAGCTCTTTTTGGGTGTTTTTGGTTTATGAGTTATATGTTTGATAATGCGCGCAATAAATGGTGTGGTAAATAAATACTTCAATTAGCATATACTAAGCGGGTTGGATCCTGCGTTCTAAGTTAAAATTGATTTTTCTGGAAAGTGAACAGATTGAAAGTAATTTCGTATGCATTATTGCTCACTTGTAGGATTCATGAGGGGCGTCTCTTTCAAATTGAGTTTCTTTCGAGGGAAATGAAATGGTGCCTTGTGAGTACTTTTGCATTTGTAAATTGTGCCAAGTATCTGAATCTTTTGAAGCTCTTATGGATAGAGTTGACTTAATTGAGGTTGATGCCTAACCTGCAAGAAAAAATTATAGATGAAATACACTGTGTACCACGATTGTAGATCACTTGCATGTCCATCTAAAATTGACCTTCACTTTACAAAGTCAAAGATATTGAAATTATAGGTAACATGAAAGAAAATTATGGCCACTTTGAATGTTTTCCTTCTACATGGATGTTCAATTGATAAGATCAAAGTATCATTTCAACATCTGGTTCTCATTTTTCTGCACAATTGGAAGTGCAAATTTTACAATCAAGTTGACAAAGCAGATCACTACAGCCTGCCTAGAGGTGTCTATTTTGTGCAGCTGAATTACTTGGTCTACAAATACACCCATTGGCCAAGATTTGGAACCCATCCTGGTAACAAGAGGGTGACATGTAATAGTATGTCCACAGTCTGAAGCTTCAGGATTTGATAAGACTTCTGTTATCTACCAATTCCTAGAGATAACTGGAGCTTCAAGAGGAATTGAGATGACAAACTCTAGAAGTTGGCTATAGTTGATGCAGCTGAATATAATCAATGTGATAGTCACACAGATCATTTGATATAAAGTGAGTTGACCCATTGCTTTCTCACCTGCAAGTATTTTGAGAGGTAGAAGGCTTGGAAATAACACCAATAGGTCCCAAGGCAAATATTGGAGGTCTTTCTCCCCTCTTCTCATTAAAATCCCCTCATTCACCACCTTGATGAATGATTTGGAAACAAATTTATTTTGATTTTCCTTATCTGAATGCAACACATGGTTTTACAGTCAATTGAGTCAGTTTGAGGTTCAGATCAAGTTGAGGCACCCTTCACAGGGTCCCTGAGCTAGCTTTTCATGCAGCTCAGGTTTCATTTGATTGGGGTTCACAATGAGTGAGTCCAATGTAATAGTTCCCTAAGGCTCAACTAATGCATAGAATCCAGATCAGACCATTGAAGGACAATGTAAGAGATAATTGTGGAGGCTCACATATGTATCAATGTCTATGTGAGCTGTGTATGAGCATTGAAACTTGATGAATTTGTGGCGTAGAATATTTTGTTTGGCTCAAATCCGGTCAAGCTTGACCAGAAACATTTTCTGATGGAGGGGAGTGAGAAAGGGGAGTGAGAAGTGGTATCTTGCAAGACTGACAATAAAATTAGGAAGCCCCGACACTCAGAACCATCCGGGACTCGGAACGGGCCATTCACTTAGCGCCGATCATTTGGCATGCCCCAGGGCGCGAGTCAGGGTCATGATTCCTGCAGCGGGCGGGATTTCTTCCTTCATCTGCTGTTGTTCAACACTTTACACCTTCCCTTTGACTCAAACCAATACCAACTCAATCCTCACCCATCCTTCTGCACCAGGCATCATCATCATCATCATGGGTACCATACGAAGGGTATCAAAGATCGATCTTCAATCACAAACTCTACCGGATGTCCCTCCAAGTCCTGGTCCCAGTAAAACTCCGGCATCTCTTCCTGACTATGTTGGTTATTCTCACTCCGCTAGCGTCGTCACCCTCATACTGATCGGAAACGAAAATTTGAAATACGTCCACTAGCAACTTGGTGAGGTTCTTGGCCGGGGAGCTTTTGGCTGTGTCTTTCGTGCGTTGAATTGGTTCACAGGAGAGACAGTTGCAGTCAAACAAGTTCGTAGTCTCTACTTGATCTGGGCATAGAGACTCATGATGCTTTCCTTAGATGATATTTGACAACTGACTTTATTATCTTGCTTATTCTAGGTTGGATTGAGTAACATTCCGACCTCCGAGCTACCCGAGATCATGGTGGGTACGCTGCAGTATGGTTCTTCCTTCCTTACAACTCCACTTAACCAATCAGATGTGTGCCTTTGTTTTTACAGTCAGAAATTGATCTACTCAAAAATCTGGATCGTACGTCTTCGCATTTGGCCTTTACCCAAATCTGCTTGCTAAATCACTCATAATAAATGTATACTACTATTGTCTGTAGATCCCAATATCGTTCAATACCGTGGTTTTGTTAAGACATCAGACTATCTTTACATCATTTTAGAATACTGCGAAAATGGATCACTACATACGATCTGCAAAAAGTTTGGCAAATTTCCAGAAGCACTGGTGGCTGTCTACATCTGTCAAGTCCTAGAGGGTCTCTTATATCTACACGAACAAGGTGTTATTCATCGAGATATCAAAGGTTCAAACATTTTGGCGACTAAAGAAGGGGGTGTAAAACTAGCCGACTTTGGAGTAGCTACAAGAACTGGCGCTCTGACTGATAATTCGGTAGTAGGATCTCCATACTGGATGGCACCTGAAGTTGTTGATCAGTCTGGAGCCACTACTGCGTCCGACATTTGGTCAGTCGGATGTGTAGTCATCGAGCTTCTCGAAGGTAAACCGCCTTACTACTTCTTGGATCCAATGCCGGCACTTTTCAGGATTGTAAATGATGATTGTCCTCCTTTGCCCGAATCCGCTTCACCGATTGCAAGAGATTTCTTATTACAATGTTTTCAAAAAGATCAAAATTTAAGGATCAGTGCAAAAAAATTGCTCAAACATCCCTGGATGGTATCTGCTAGAAAACGTATTGAACAAAAAGAAAGAGAACAAGCTTTAGCTCAAGGTCGGCGTACCCCAGCAGGAAATCAGCTCAATAGTTCTCGTAGTCGTGGTAGCGATGGCGGTGACCGAGTCTCCAAGACAAATACCTCCAAGACTGGATATGATGAAACGGTCCAGCGCGTTCAAGATTGGAACAAAGCCTTGGAGAGGCCGACCAACGCACTCCACAAACCACTTTCCGAGGTACCGCCTTCGCCTCGCCAGATCTCCACTCACTCACAGCTACCCCGTCATGCCGGATCGGTTGCTCATCGCTCCCCCGAAGATGGTTACCCACCCCGCATGAAAGCAATAGGCAGACCGCCGTACCATAGCTCTGGTACGATCGCACCCCCAAGAACCAACATCGCATCTGGTTTCATCAACCCCAACTTCGATGACGCCACAATGATCAAGAACTCCACCATCCGAGGCCTAGGAGCAAGCGTTATCAACCGCTCATCCGTTCCATCTGCTTTGCCATTGACACCGGCCAATTTGCCTGTTGCGGTCATGAACACGACGCCCCCAGCACGGAAGCTTGCCGAAGTGGGCGTTGAAAGTCCCCAAGGAGACAACTGGGATGACGACTTTGAGGGTGGGATCTCAAGCTCAAAAATTGCTGCTCTTGATGATACGCATACTGGCAGTTCTTCTGAAGGCGAGCCCGATGATGGTGATGACGACCTTGTTCGGCAACCACTAGGAAGCATGGGACGGGATGATAACTCGGCTACCATCAAACAACTTGGCGCCGCCAAAGGTCCCTCTCCAGATCGATCAAAGCTTGCTGCTGGATTGGGTGCAATCGTTGAGGACTATTCAGACCTGGTTGGAGATGATCAGAGGGATCCATTCGAAGGCAAAGTTGCCAGCTTGAAAGTTTGTCGTCCATCAGTTTCTCTTTTTGAAAAACCTAAGCTGACATTCATTCCACCAATAAAGGTATTGAACCAACACCAAAAGATTCTGCATCCAAGTGACATCAGCTCTAATAGCAATAACGACCCCAGTCATAGCCTCAAAGCACGCTTCGCACTCTCTGGTCGCCCTTCCTCGCCTGCGCATCTGGACCAAAGCCGCGCATCTTCCCCTGCACCATCGTTGAGCCGATCAATGAGCCACAGCGCTGCCTTATCGAGGACCAATTCACTGTCCGCTCAAGGTCCCCACTCTCCGCTGGCGGATGAGCACTTGAATAGGTTTACTGAGCAAGGTGGTGAAGATTATTCTGATTTGTTTGGCAAGGCTCCAGCGGGTAGCGATGGCCGCGAAGGCCCGAGTGCTTCCATGGAAACTCTGAAATTACAAACACGCTTATCCAACATGTCAAGTAAATCTTGGGTCAGTGTTTCGAACAGTCCTCTACACCCATTGATATTTCCATCAATGTATATGATCGTCATCTTACCAATTGTTCATTTCTTAGCTTGGGGACGAGGACAGTGACGAAGTAGATCCGTTTGCGGAAGTTGACGAAGAAGAAATGAGCGAAGAGCCTACTTTGGAGGCCAATTTGGCCCGGGATCGACTAGCTAGATTAGGAAACCTTGTGACTGAGATTGTCGATCAGATGACCCCGGACATTGATGAATTTGCGCTCAAAGATGGGTGTATGCAATTGGTACGGATTTTGTCACTGTGATGGACGTATCACCCTTCTATACTCACTACCTCTATATGACGGGACCACGTTAATCTAGATTGGCCTTTTCGAGGATACTCCCGAAATCAGAGCTCACTTTGTGCGTTCGCATGGGATGCTGGCTGTTATCGAATTACTTCAACAATTCCAACGCTCCCGTGATCTTGTCAGCTTGCTATTGCGTACCATTAACTTGGTAAGCTCCTTCGCAGATACACTAAGAAGATCCAGCTTTTGATTTAATCATTGTACGACTCTTTGAATCGCTAGATCATTAGTGATGACCCCGAATCATTGGAGAAAATTTGTGTACGTACCTTTCATCAAATATGGTGAATGCTCGTAAAGATCCAGTTCAAAGACTTGTCCTTGTCTCATACTCTTCATACCTGCTGTTTCTTCAATACTTCAGTATAATGGGGGCTGCCCGGTAGTCATGAGCTTTGCTTCGAACAAATACGCTCGCGAGATTCGGTTGGAGGCTGCCCTGTTTATCGGGTCGATGTGCCAGACCTCGCTGCTTACTGTAGGCCGATGCTCACTTGACAATTTGAGTATTAATTGCATATACAATCTTGATTGATGTAATCACTCTTGACTCTTTGTAGTTACAAATGTTTATCAGCTGCCGTGGTCTCAAGGTACTTGTTGAAATGATGGATGAAAACTATGATGAGCAAAAAGATTTGGTGTGGATGGCGGTCGATGGGATTTGTCGCGTATTTGAGCTACAGGTCAGTGCTGCACAGATGCATTTATGACCAGAAACTGATCTCTAGGTATGCAGGGACCGACTCCACGTAACGATTTTTGCCGGATGTTTGCACATGAGGGACTGCTTGACCCTTTGTCAGAAGCATTACTTCATGTTTCACACGATGACGATGATCTCGCAGAGAATGCCAAAGGTCGAATCGTTCACATCTTTCTGCTGTTCTCTCAAGCAGACATGCGTGTAAAAGAAATTATGCTTACTCGGTCAATCATTTTACGTGGGTCTTATGTTTTTACTTAGTATCACTTTGTCTTCGCCTGGAAACTGATGAGGCTTTAACTTTCAGGTCTGATCAGATCATTGTCAATACTTGAGACCGAGCTGTTGGCTACAATGTTGAAGACCTTGAAGAATTTGACTATGATTCCTTCAGGCTTACAAGTCTTACAAAATGCTAATACCATCGAGACACTTACTACGCTTCTGAAGGACCAAATAGAGCGCGACCCTGACACATCGCTTACAACAGTGAGTTCCTCTACTTTACCCATCGTGATCTCCGGATTGCTCAACCATTATCCTACATTCTGACATCTTCGACTTGAAATTTGCAGGAAATCGCCAATCACGTGGTCAATGCTCTATATAATCTTTGTCGGTTGAGTAAACCTCGACAAGAAGAGGCAGCTCTGGCAGGCGCCATCCCAATTTTACAGCGGGTGGTGAAAAGTAGTTCTCCGTTAAAGCAATTCGCTCTCCCCATTTTGTGTGACTTTGCTCATACAAGTAAGACGTGTCGTAAATTACTATGGCAAAAGGATGGCTTCTCATTCTACCTGGGATTGCTTCGTGATCCATTCTGGAGCATCACAGCCCTTGAATCTATCTTGGCATGGTGAGCAGACCCTTTTCCAAATATACAAGCGCTATTTTGTGTTTTACATTGAGCTGATTGGTAATCTCGGTTCGCCGCGCAACAAATAAGGCTTTCCGATGAAACTGCTCGAGTGGAAGATGCATTGACTGAGGCGTCTTCGATCGAGGCTTTGCTAAGGATGTTTACCAAGGCCAAAGCAACCACTTTTGAGAATTTGTTGGACCCGCTTCTCAAGGTAAATCCTTTATCTCATTCGATCCAGAATGATTCACTGAACGCCGTTGCATTGTCCACTATCTTGCTAGCTTTTCCGTATGTCACCAGCAGTCGGTGCTGCCCTGACCTCCCAGCCCACATTTGCTCGTCGTTTGGTCGACCGGTTATTGGGCCACAATAAAGCCGTTGTGAGACTTAATCTCTTGCGACTTACGAAGGCAGTGTACGAGACGGCTTCAGACAAGTCGTCAATCTTGAAGATGCCTGGTCTAGCAGCTGGAATCTCCAAGATGGCCGATTCAGAATCAGCAATTCTTGTACGAGAGCTGGCCAAGGAGCTCAATCGAGAATTTGCCGCTTATAATTCCTCGACAACAGCTAAAACAAGAAAACAACCCGGAGTATCTCGTAATTCTACGCCTGATACATCGGAAACGCCTAAAGCATCAAAAAGAATGGTGCCAGGAAGTGAGTCGAGCCTAAGTATACCTTCTACCCACCTAAGTGGCCGGGGAATGAACAAGGACCAAGCTGGGAATGTGACACATGCGATTCCTCGATCTGCGAGTTCTGGTAGCAGTCGGTGGAGCAGGGCACGATGAGGCATCCGTCAGCAGTTGTGATGTAGCGGAAACCTCCATCTTGATTCTGACTGGTCTGCATTATTTGGTATTTTGTTTTGGGGCTTTTGTTCAATAATTGATATATCTGTCTGTTCAATCATTATCACTTGCATCTTACTTTTCTTTTAGCTTCTGTTGTGTTTTTGCCGTTGTTATATCTTTTCATATGGACAAGCTGACCAAGCATATTTTTACAGCACTCACCCCCAACCAAAAAGAGGTATCAGCTTCTGTATTAGTAGTAAGAGATTCTTATGTGTATTTGTTTTAGCGGCTTGTGCGCAAACAAAAGCTTTCATGAGTTCTTGTCGATGACAGCATTCCTTCATCAGACCCATATGACGCCAACCTCCTAGTATCATTTCAAAAATCAATCCATGCTTTTACTTTCTCGTATGAAGGTGTAAGAGATAAATTTACCAAACGTATATAATTTGTAAAGGTATCACTGGTAGGCGCCGTGTCAAGCCTGAAAAATTATTTACCTCGGGTCCCCTCCATGAAATCGCCCGCCCAAGCCTGCACTCACTTCACGATACGTGATCTCCTGGCTTGGCGTTGAGAAATATTCGCAAAAAACAGTCCACGGACCCCTTCTGGATTTACCTGCATACATTGAACCTTTCCTGGAGGTCTTGGTGTATCGCCATTCGGATTCCGCGGTGCGCAAATATGTTGAAGAAGCTAATCAAATATCGTTTCGTGTGCATTTTCCCAATTTCACTTCTTTCATCCGTCTGGCTCGAACTGGGAGGGTCATCCTCAACGAATGGCGAAGGTTCATTGAACCAACGGGCAGATTTCGTCACTTCCTTCACACGAAATAACCCATCTTCATAACGTGTAATTTTTCTCCTATGTATTTGTCTTTTTCAAAAAATCAGCACTCACATCCTCTTTTCCAAAGGTCAGTTTTTGAGACAAACATAGCCACAAACAAGCAAAGAGACAGTAACTCAGCTTGACAAAAAAACAAATAAACCCGATGATAGTCTCCTCCGTATCCCAGATTTCTTTCAACCTCAACCAAGAAATTATTCAAAGAAAATCCAAAATGATGTGTGAATAATCCAAAAACGCTCAACCTGCCAGAGTGAACGTCTCAAAATCTCGCTATAACTTCTCTTAAAACAGAACGACTGCCAGACATGAGAATTGACCTATATCTAGTGCAGACAAACATTTTCTGGTTACCCTCTAATTCTTTTCGGAAACCTTGAATGGGCAATGAGTACGCTTGCTCATCCCACCTAGGATTGATTGCTCAACTCGTCCGAGAACAAAGTTGTTAAAAAATGCCGGATATCTCTGGATTGCATGGAGCCTATCCCCGAAGCATTGGGGTGTTGCGGTAGGTTTGTGCTCCGTGGCACGTGAGGACACGTGTTGTAAGACTGAAGCATTTTTTTTTGATCCACGATCATCAATCATTAACATGTGGATTCAGCGACTTTCGACGGCTTGGTTTCATCGATAGCGAAATCAGAGTTTGTATAAACACTTCATACTAATTAGACTTCGTCTTTGTACATGTCATGATTTTCACTTCTGCCATCCGTCCTCCTCCCTCCTCGATCCGGCCAGATTGTCCTCAAACTTTATATACTTCAATGATGTCTGTTTGGAGTCTATGAATACAGGGTGTCTATGACCACTAGCACTCCGTCCGCCACATGCGTTCATGACGTCGACAAGGGTAGATTGGTCGGAGTTTGGTGACAGAAAGGTCATTTCAAAGTGTTCGTTTCTTCCACTCAGTAGAAACCTCAGCGACCCTCGGTTCATTGAAAATTCGCTGGAGCGAATCTGAAGTAAAGTCGAGACGAATTTGAGGCCAAGTGGGCAAATTTATCAATCTCGACGTCGCGAACGTCTCTCGTAGACGCGGTGTTCCAAGGTGCTTATGAGATCAATTCTTACGTGATATGTACAGTCATTTAAGAAGAGCTTGCCCCAAATTCCCCGCCAATTCGCTTGAGTTTTGCGGGCAATTTGGGGCAAGCTTTTCTTAAATGACTGTACGTGATGACGATACCGCTCGGAACAAGTCACGCCGAGATTGAACCCAAGTCGAGACCGAAACTCAAACGGCAGGGAACTGAAGTGCATATCATCGTCAAGAGTAGCACGGAGTTCACTGACGTGATAGTAAAGGGTCTCGGTTTGCACAAGGCCTTTAAAATTTAAACGGCGCCTGATAACTTTCCAAATTCTAACAGCCACATCCACATTTTATAACAATTTTCACATTTTGATTGAATTCTAGAACCTTTTCACTTAAAGACTTACACATATTTTATGATGAAGATTTTTCAACTCATTATTCTCCTTGTTATCAACAACGTCAATTCTACTTCAATTGATCGCAGAGCTACCCAGCCATGGTTAATCTTACCGCCAACTCCTTCTCTACCTAAACCTATCTCTAATACTCTACAAGATATCAATGGTGTCAAACTTTGGTCTCAAGAGTATAACAAATCACCAGGAAAGATTCCCATTGTTCTGAATCATGGTGGTTTAGGTTATTCGGCTTATTTTGGAGACGTCATCAATAACCTCATTGCTCAAAATCGCTACGTGATTGCTATTGATCGCCGTGGTCATGGTCGTAGTACATTTAATGCCAATGACGAGTTCACGTTTGATATGTTTGCCAAAGATATCGATGATCAACTGAAATCCATTGGCGTACAAAAGTATGATGTGTTAGGGTGGTCAGATGGAGCGGCTACGACTCTAGCGGCACTTCAAACCCCGACTTTGGCATCTAAAATCAACAAAGCATTCATCTTTGCTGGGTTTATGGTACCTCAAGATACAAATTCAACCTTTACATCTACAAACATTTACACAGAGTTCGTCTCTCGGTGCGCCAAAGAATACGCTGTCAATCAACCTACTCAAGACTTCAAACTCTTCGCTGGAAAAGTCGCAACCTTAGAGTCTAAATTACCACAATTCACTGCACAAGGATTGGGTAGAATTGATGGATCTAAGGTAGCAATTGCTGGGGCTGAGTATGATGAAGCTGTTAATTTGAATGTTCCGGATAAGCTCCATTCCGCCATACGAGGTAGCCAGTTGATCATGCTAAAGGGTGTCAGTCACTTTGCGCCCTTGCAGGACTCTAAGGGGTTTACCCAGGCGATCTTGAAGTTTTTTGGTTAAAGTGTATTGAACAACTTGACTTGTTTAAGTTTGGAAAAAAATTGACTATGTATCTTATTGAATCCTTGTGCATTTTTTTGTTGTGATGTGGGTGTTCTCTGTGTTTGGTGATGCTATTCACAGAAAGTCATTTTCATCATATGGTTCTCTGTCTGTTTTGTGGTTTTTCCTCATTTATATACTCCTTTGAGTACAGTTTGTGGAGCAATGATCCTTCATTGCATTAAGCCTCCTGATCATATCACAAATCAATTTTTAATCCTCTCATGGCCTGATGAATACAAGAAAATCTTCATGTTTGAGATAATCAGATAGTGTGCCATGATTCTCCTTCATTACAGTGTGACATCACCTTTGGAAAATCAATTTTCATGTGTTTAGATCAGATGCAAAAACACTGTGGGTGTGACTCCTGCTCTCCTTTCAATAAGATATGTCCTCCTTCATAACTTCAGTGCTTTACAAGGTGTATCACAATAGGGATGACACTTTTTAATAGGCAAACATCCAAGAGATGATCTGTGTAATCTTAAATCACCTACATGATACTATCACATGAGCTCTACACATTTGAGATACATTTGAGTGCTCTATCATGGTGAGCAATCCCTGCAAGTTTACCCTTACATGCACAGTTCGAGATAAATGCCATGTGATTGTGAAAGCTCACATATTACCACCAACATCCTTGACCTCAAAATTACCATTGTAGCGCAATGGTTTGGGTCACATATGCAGAGTAAATTTAAGTAAGACAAGATTATCTTACAATTCTTTTGGGGAAAAAGATGAAGACATTTACAAGATTGGTTCTATTATTTACAAGATATTTTGACTTCACAATCCTACAAGATAGAAACAGGAACTTTACTATTGTCTGAGTCAACATGACCAAGTAGAGTAGATATTGTACCAAAAAAACTCAGTTCCACTGTCATACGTGTGGTCAAAAAACTTCAAATCCCATGCCAGTGAGTTTACACAACTATGTAATATATAGGCCACTTGTTGGTGCTATGAAATGGGTTCACAAACTTCAGAGGAATGTAATTTGAAGCAATTGATGGATCCTCAATGAACAAAAAATAGCTTGGCCAAAAGAAGGGCAATGCATCAAACTTGTATCTTCAAAGAGTGCTTCTGTTATCATAAAAATTGTAATAGAGGAACACTCAGAGTTTCAAAAACTTTTGATACAAAAACTACTGATTTGAAAATGTTCCATTGGACAACAATCAATTTGAGAACAATGACTTTGAAAACAGTCAATTTTGAAACAATTCATTTGAAAATATAAATTTGAGAACAATTGATTTGAAAACAATCAATTTGAAAATAGGAAGGAAAGCTGTTGAAAGTAAGATGGAATAGGTACAAACCAAAAGCCAATGTTTGATAGTGATGTTGTACCTATGTCAATAAAGAGAAGAAAATGAGAGGTGTAGTCAAGCTTTGATTGTGGGGAGAGGTGGTGTGATGTGTGGCTTTGTAGAAGTTGAGTAGATATGCAGATGTAGAGTTTCTGCAGAATTGGAGAGGTCCAGTGAATGTACTGGAGGTCTACCAATTTTTCAGCTTCACAAAGCCCTATCTATGTGGCTACACCTGCACCCTTGCAGAGGTGCTTATGACAAATTCTCTATTCCCAACATGAGAACTCCGTGGATTAAGTCCTGTTATGTAGGTTTTTGTAATTACCCACTTCCCTCAATGAGAGAACACAATTCAAGCATTTATAAAGGTTGTTCATAATTCCTGTCTATACAAACTTCTAGCCTCACATCTTAGGAAATACAGGTGGTGTTGTCCAAAGAGCAATTGAAAAGTTTTTGAAATATTGGCCTGTATTGTGGCCTTTTCAACTCCTCTTTGTTCAAGATTTTTGGCCTTGCACAAAAACTCACAATGATTTTTGCCTACCCTAGCTATGTAACTGGACCATTATTGGGCCACAAGTCATGCACAAGTTCCACATATTTCTGCAGAAATTTTTGAGACTGAATAGCGCAAAGACATATCCCAGCTTTCTGACCAAACCTATGCAAGCTTTTATGTGGATTAAATAATCTCAACATCTTCCATTTTCAAAATGGCTCCACATTTCTCTGTGATCCGCTTACATCCACATATCAAATAATCAGGTATCCAATGGTTCAATGCATTTGAAAACACTGCTGTGAACACAAAAGAGATTGTGTGTGTCTGCAACTGTTGATCCAATGGGCTTCAGCTGAGCCTGCACAATGTGTTCACATTTGTTGGCAGTGTGATATCTTGCCGTATATTCAAGTTCCTACAGAGTTTTGGACCCTGGTCATGTCAGAGAACAGAAGACCATGCATTAAGGTCTCTCTAGGATCTCAACAATTGATGTTGCAATTAATGATATCTTGTATCTATACTTTGAGACCTTTGCTGTGCATTGAGAATTTTGATATCCTACAAGAAATGTTTATGACTTTCTGGCATTTATTTCCTCCAATGGGCATGCAGTGTGAATATTACACCCACTTACAGGTAAGACATAAAAGCTTGAAAGCTCACCTCAAAAAAGGGATCATTCACCATGATCTCCAGGATGATCAAGGAAACATTACATGTAGAAAGGAATTCTGAACAACTTTTATAAAAGCTCAAATTGAGTTTTCTCATTGAGGGGAGTGGGAAGATACAAAAATCTACATAAAAGGACTTCATGGCAGACTTCTCATGCCAGCAATGGACAATATTTCATAAGTCCCTCTGCAAGGACGTGGACATGGCTGCGCAGATAGGGCTTTGTTATCCTAAATCAACTTCTGAGCAAAAAATTTAACTGCCAATGTGTACCATGGACACAGTAGGGGATTTTGAACCTTTACTGTACTGTGGCCACTTACCAAGACAATAGGAGAGGCTCTTACTGAGTGTAAAAATCTTGTAACCCTTAGTAAATGTACCAACAAAAAACATCCTAAAATTATGGTGACTGTGGAGAGCCAAATGAGTCAAAACCCTAAGGTGCAAAAAATCAACCCAAAACTTGCCCTCAAAGCCCTGTTCAGACTATCCTGAGTCTGACCAACAACACTTTGCCTGTTGTCACTCCCTGTTCACTCAGTGTTTATCCCACCAAGTTTTTCTTTATATTTGTTAGAAAGTCTTTCTCTGGAGTTATTACAAGGAGCATTGGACTTAAAATGTGCAAAGATTCTCTTCTTCTGAGCAATTTATGTTGAAAAACAAGTTGCATTTTCCTCTCTGTGTTTGCTGTAGAAAAGCAAGTTGCACAATTGCTTAAAAAATCATATCATCTAGTGATCAATGTATCACAGTTACAAGATAACACCACAGGAAAACTCTCAAGTTTCTATTAGAAATATCATTATAATATGTATCAAAATTACTCATGAAGATGCTTTCAAAGATCATAATCTTGAACAACTGCATTCTTTTTACAAGGTTAAATCTTCTAAAAACATCACTCACTGGGTAAATGAAGATCTGAAAATTAGGACCAATATATTATACATACATAGAAGATTGGCAAACAAATAGGAAAAGGAAGATGGATGAAAGAATGAGATTAAGTGAGATGAAGGGATTTTTTGGTCTGGGCCAACAGACTTGGGCTTGGGATAGGCTCAAGCAGGCTTTCAAGGAGAGCTTCACATGAGGATTCCACATTTTTAAGTTTTGACTCATTTGGCACCCCACAGCCACTACACAAGATCCAACTATTCATACCTGTATTTGAGGCTTATGGATGCCAAGAATGATTTTTTTGTTGGTATCATTCTAAATAGCTTTTGGAAGTATTTTTGGAAGTATTGTCCCAGGTCCAAAACATCAAGCATCAAAAACTAGTGTGTTTGTTTTGCAACAATCAAAACCTGACAAAATGCAACTTACCAAGTTCCTCCTCAAATTGCAGGCGTAGAAATAAACAAAATGAAAATATGGTTCAAAATTTCTTTGAGGTCCTTTGGACCCCTGACTTTGAAACCTCTTGAGAAGAAGGAAAAATGGGGAGACATTGTTTCATAGTCTTCCCGGAAGACATTGAGGGATCATCTTGTGTAACAATGGAGGATTGAAGATAGCCCCTGCCAAATCCAAATCTAATCAGGCTAGCCTGAAACACACTGATAAGCTGTGAAATCCCTCCTTCGCAGGCTCCAAAGGAAGCGCCTGCAAATCGAGGAGGGATTTACATAGTTAAGTCAAGGAAAAAACAAATGCGCCAGAATCTTGACACACAATGAGTGGACACTAAAGCTACTGATATTTTTAGCTGAATCTGTAGCAAATATCAGCAAATAAATGTGATCCAAACCTCTTGAAAGTTGGTAAAGGTAACATTGAATGCATAAAAAAGGTATTGGATGTAAAGCTCATTCCAAGCAGGTTGGTATGCGAATTCATGGTGGAAGACTGCTCGCATGCCTCCGACGTCGCTATGATCCAAACGCGACGCAGGCAAAAATACCTTTTTCGTCGTTTATATGACGAAGAATTCGAATTGAAAACTTACCTTTTTGGTCGATATATTTATCAGGAGCTATCCGGGGGCCTGTTTGGGCCCTCACTTCAGATCAGTCAAGGTGAAAATCTGTTGGATGCAAATAATAAAAGATTGAAGGCCTTTGTTGAACTCGCGGCTTACTTACACAACGATTGAACGAGCGCATCCTACAGTCTCCTATGTAACAATTCTGGCTCCTCAGCGCGCTACATGAAGCACGTGCAGCAGGGGGTTTGAGACAATCATACTATTACTCAGCTTATCCAATGAATTTTGATTCAACTCGTCATTCAAACCTGCCATTTATTACATTGTGGGCAATTAACAAAACAAAATCTTGTGAAACCAAGATATATACTTTTTTTAAAACTTTCAAACTTGGACGGATTGAATCATTTAATACAGGATACGATTCATGAAACCGTCAAGTTAACCGTCTTGCTTTTCCTTGAATGCCACGAAACCAAAGAAAAGTCCACCAAGCAGAACACACGTGAACTTCATAAAATTAAATATTAAAGAGTATATTCTTGATACCGATCATTATCTTGCCCGAGATCTTGAGATTTTATATAGGCGAACTTCTTCACTGGAATTCAATATATCTCAAGGTCTCTTTCTCAAGTAACACAACAGTTTTTCGAGACTCGAAGAGCGCCTACGGAAATGTTCAGGAAAAAGATCAGCGGTCATAGCAAATAAGACATCTCCATGAAATAAAAAAAGCATACATGAATGCCAACACTGGTTCCTACTTTCATCAACTGCCCACGAGTGGATCGTAGATCCCAAATCTTCAGTCCTCCTACTTGTCCATCAGGATAAACAAAATAGTTATCCCTGATACCCCCCTATGATCCGAGGACTGGTCAATTTATCTTATCATTGAGTGGTGCATACAGTCAGAACGTAAAGGAATCCACTCACTTTCCGATAAGTTTCAACGGGTGACTCAAATCCCTTGAAATTTGGATCTTCACCAAAGCCAAAATTGATTGCTGGACGATTTCCTCGAATATCACACAACCGAAACTAAGTTGAAGATCACAACCACCCATTAGATTCTCCTACCTTGTTACCCATACTTCTACTCGAAAGGAAAACAGAGTCAGATTATGTTTGACCTGCTTACTTGATAATCAGGTGTCTTGTTCCCAGTGGTGACCATCGTAATGTATTCATTTGTTGGACTGAGATCACGATCAAGTATTATAAAAATTAGCGCTACTAGCCGAAGTGGAAACACCACGAACTAGAAGGTACTCTGCCTGTATCCAATGAATCGGAGACCTAGCCTCTAGGAGAAGGCTACGCGTATTTGATTCTATATTTGTTTGATAGACCTATGATGCCAATTGAACGTCGACCTGGTGATCAGCAATCGATCAAAAGCCAATAGTAAACAGTCATAAAGAGTTTTACCCTTCCTCCGCTATCTCCAGAAAAGATCAGTTGGTTGAGCGCAGAGACCTCTAACGCTTGTATTGCACTTTTATGTTCTGTGAACCGCTTTATGACGTCTACTTTACCATTGACAGCTTTCCAAAGCATGATCTGTTTCTCTATGCCAGACGTCACAAAGCCCAAAGAATTGTGATCGGAAGGTAACAGACATGTCGCTCGTACCCCTTGCTCGTGCATCACCTGCGGAAGGGGAGTGCGCTGACAGATGAGCTTACCGTTCTACGGTCGCAAGGGTTTGAGTCAGTAGGGAGATAACCGAGACGAAAATGAAGAAAGAAGATCAACCTTTGCTGGTCGATTAAACTTGATCAGGGAGACCTGCGAAGATTTATATGATCGGCCAGTGTTGGATGATCGGGATCCCAGGATCAAGGTTTTGTGAGGGGCAGAGTAACAAGCTGCATCTACAATCTCGGTTGCTGAGGGCCCTGGCAGCAACAGTTGAACTTTACTCCTATCCCTTTTATCCCATGAAAGTACATCACCTCGTAATGAGACGTTCAAATGTACATTCATGTCGGTGGGAACCAAATACCTTTTCTTAGTGACCCCAAACCCTCGGTGAGTGTAAGCAAAGGTGTTCCTAACTCTGAAGCTATCGTTGGGTTGTGGCCTAAAAGGTTGATTGGGACGTTGCGGGGGTCTTGCTGGAGGAAGTTGTCTCATGTTCGCTTCCTCTCTCTTCCTATTTTTGAGTTGATCAATTTCACTCCGTAATTCACGTAATTGAGCTGTCAAGTCAGCTATCAGAGGAGCCGGAACTATGGCAACATCGTGTGGGATAGGAGTATCGCCAAGTAGGGCGGGAGGCGAGCCAGCCCTTTGAGCTTGTGGGGCTTGATCGAGGGTTTTCTGAGGCCTAGAAGCATCATGCACAGGCGGTACCTGATTGGATCTGCGATTTGAGGGAAGACTATGATGATCCTCACACGTACTACTAGCCTGGCCACCCTTGTTTCGGCTACGACTAACAGATCGCAACCGGTCAGCTGTGAGAGTACATTGTGCATTGAAACCAGAGATGATAGCGTTGGTCTGGACTGTGTGCTTGCGGATAGTGAGTGTGTCACTCAAGATGATCCATTTGATCAGACCTAAACAACCCTCAGAAGGGTCTCGATTGGTATCAACTGGTCTGAGTACAAAGCATCGGTCAAATGCCCGCTGGATATTTTTCGGAAATTCTGCAAAAGCTCCATGAACTATACATAGGACTGTTTTGGGATCTGTGGGCACGGGCCAAGCATCGACTATTAGATTGTCCAATGGTTCGTTCGATAGAGCAGGTAATCTTGAGATACTATAATAGATGCTAGACCATCCTATGTTCTTGGTCACTCTAGTAGACGTGCAGCCCTGTTTGGCAAGAAGATTGGAAAAGATCGCCGTTTGATCATACAGATGACGAAGATCGACTCGTGATTCTTCCCATAGCCTAAAGAACGTACTTAGAAAATCGTGAAGACTTCTTCGGAGATCAGGATGTACACTTTCGTCGACATAAGTTGCTTTGGGAGCGAATGGCCACTTTGGGTGCTGAGTACTGCGGCTAGCAACATGCCGGTCTCCACAGAGATCTATTGGCTCAAGAGCCGAGTTTCGTGAGTGGTGTGAAGGGCCGGCTTCTACAGAAGACGAGATGCTGGCTGCCAGTGTCGGTTGTTGTTGTGTTGCTTTTGCCTGTGTAGCTTGGGAAGGGCCTCGCCCGTCACTCAATTGATCAATGTCTTGACTTGACTCTGAGCCATCAAGGCTGCGGTTGTCTATTACCCGCAAGATGAGGTAGCCATCAGCCCAGCTACGCAGTCATGATAGAAAAACAATACGTATAAGTCTGGATGAAGATCCGTTACAAATGTGATAGGTGGACACCTCAAAACTTACGAGGAGGTCATGACTCTTTTGTCCTCCTGGGTCAATGTGCGAACCTTCTCCAACTCAAACAAATGTCGAGATTTGAGATAATCTGGCACGTTCACCTCACATTTTTTCGGATACGCAAAGGCCACTTCATATAATGGCAGTGATGAAGGGCCTGAAGTCGGGTTGTGGGTTGTTTCGCCGACATCCTTAGCGACGACAGGAGGGTCGACAGTTAGATTCGCACAATGAGGATCAGCACTCGCGGCCTTACGGTCGGCTTTGCGTTCGGCCTTCCTAATGATCCGATCGATGTCATCCATTGGCCTCAAGCTGCGTTCGTGTGACGACGTTGGGCTTGAATCTCGAGAAAGACATAGGCTATCTTGGCGATCACCCTCAAGCGTAGTGTCTTCAATGATCTCTTGTTCAATGTCTTCATTGGTGATATCGACTTTCTCTTGCTCTTCGGAACTTGCAGTTTCATGATCATTCTCGCCGTAGTTCTTTGGATTGACGATCTCAATGTCACTGCTGGTCTCTATTTTCATGTCAGTATCACCAGATATTGATGACTGCCTCGAGGCGTTGTCACCTTCTGAAGGTTCCCGAACACAATCCTCCTGATCTTTAGCATTCGACGGCGCAGGACTTGGTGATGAATATATAAATTGGGCGTCTTCCTGTGGAAGAGGAGGCGTGCCAGGGGAGGAGATCTGAGGGGGAGTCCTAGGCGAGGAGTTCTGAGGAGGAGTCCCAGGGGAAGAGAATTGAGGAGGAGTCCCAGGTGACAATGGGGGGTCGAGTTGGTCCATTTCAATGATGTCTAAATCAGTGGTTGCATTTGCACCTTCTTTCTTGGGCGGACCTTCCTCAACGATGACAGGTGAAAGTCTGGCAAGATCTTGGGTAGATGATTCTTCCTCGTCGTGGGACCGGTACAATTTGACAGACATCTTGAGTCCCTTGTAAGATACGTCGTTTGGAATGATAATGAGCTTTGCTTGAGAAGCTTCATAAGCATCTTCCGGATTCTCAAATTCCACTTTGCCGGTAAACTCGGTGACTTTATTGCCCTTGATGGAATAATTACGTATTGATTTACTGGAAAAGAAGAAAAACTCAATCAGCTTGTCAACTTTACTTACTAATTCCACCCCAGAGAAGAAAACAGATCAAAGTACAGTATAAGACTTGCATAGTGCCGTACACACCGAGAAGGCATCGGGTCAAAACCAAACATTTGTCCATAGATAAACCAGGTCGCAAAGTTGCACGAACAATAACCATAGGAAAGGATGCGATAGCATTTGTATTTCGAACAGGTTGAAGGTTAGAGCTGGTATTGTAGCGTGGTTTCTTGGACCTGCTTCCAGTCTCTTGTGGAGTTTCTGGGCGTTGCTTCGCTCCAGCTTGACCTACAAGAGGCTGCTGGCAAGACGAGCTCGCATTCCCAAGGAAAGGTCTCTTCCTACACATTGAGTTATATACATCGTCACATGTGGGGTCCCGTCTGAACGTCAAAGGACTTGTCGTGTTACTTTGGATTGCAGGGGGTGACTGGCAGTGCTGATGTCGAGTGACTGGTGTAGCTTCTGATTCGTTTGTCAGAGTTGTGAGAGGAGATCTGGTTAAAGGTTGCACTTCACGAGGCTGAGAAGGAAGCGAAGTCGTAGGTACAACTGAGGATGATGGTATAGGACAATCCAATCGCAAGGGCAAGTCATGATGTCGGTTGCTTGAAGGGGGATTGACTCGATGAAGGTGTATGGAGTTTTGACGATCACTTCTCCAGACATCACCATGAGTGATCTGAGAGCGAAATTGACGTGGAGGATTTGATCCTGATTGATTCCTTGCATCTCGTCCGAAATGTGAAGGCCCTTGTGTACGACTAGCTTCGTGGTATCGGGAGGGCGTTGCTGTTGACCTGTTCCCTGTAGATTGATGAAAAGGCTTCTGATTAGTGGGAATCGATGATATTGGTCGTATAGATGGTGGTTGTGCAGGTCTTCGGAGTCGATAGGGAACCCAATTTCCCTCATTAGGTTGGGCATCCTCTCGTTTGACCGTAGAAGGGTAGGTCTGTTGACTTCGCCGGGAAGCAGATTGGGTCTCCTGAGGTCCACTTGGTGATTGTTGTGCACAAAAGCTAGGCAAAGGTCTTGTCCGCAAGTCGAGGAAAGTTGGCTTGTCTGGAATGCCTTGAGACGTCATAAATGATTGATTGAGTTTTGATGGAAAGATTGAATAAAGACCAGCATTCACTCTAGATAGTCGATAGTCACAATGGCGTTCTTGACACTTTTGAGGAAAAATTTAATCACATTTCAGTTTACAATACAGTCTCAGTGTGGTTTTGTCGTCACACTCACACACTCGGGTTATGTACACATACTATCGGAGCTTCGGACTCTGGAGCGAGGCATCGAATTTCGAAATAGGGCTTCGCAGCGGGTCGAGACACGTCGGGCATCAAATGAAGACAAGGCTTTTGCAGGGATTCATATTTCCTGACTTTATTCTGAAACACTGCAAACTTGAAGCCACAATTGGAATCAAAAACATTGTAGATACTTATTCCTCAAGTTAGACTTGTACCTGATCAAGATTTTGGAGACAATCTCGCCCAATCCTCTAAACCTTACAACTCAGGAGGATCTAGTACTCTCTGCACTCACTTGAGGATATGGAATCTGACTCCAATTCGCATGATAATCTGTCTAAAAAAGGCTTCAGCACATTATTGATGTGAAGATTTTTCCTTGTACAATATCACATTTTCATGATGCTGCTTGGTTCTACTGCTCAAGGCAGTGACAAGTTGAAGAATCTATCAGTTTTTTCATCACTTTTACTCTCAAAACTTTTTATTTTGATGATTTTTTATAATTTTGATTTCACAAAAAGAACTAATACATAAAACTTCCAATTAAATAGCACATTCGGAATCGTACGAAAAACCCCAAAGCCTTATCAGGTAAGAAGAAACGCATTTCTTGAAACCATGAAACCCCAAATACTTGTAATAAATAAAAAAAAGACAGTGTTAGTTTGAATGAAGAAAGAAAAGACTGAAAGAAAGAAAGAAAGAAAAAGTGCGATTTTTTTTATCTTAAATAGCTTGACCGAAGATTTCACCACGAGAAGTAATAGTACCATTATGATTTAAATTTCTTGGATGATTTAGATGATCAAAACTAAAACTAACTTCAGATGCTTTTTTAGTTTTTTTAAATGATTTTAATTCTTTAGATGATGGTGCAGTAATTGATTGTTTCAAAACACCAATATTCACGATAATCGCATTGACTACGAAAAAAGAACTTATCAAGGGGGACAAAAATGATTCAGTGATAGATAGATTGGATTGATGCATGGATTGATTAATGTTGGATATAAATCAAATTTCACTTACATCAAACTTGCTAAGAAATAAATCCTCCTTTTGCCTCCGTGCAATACGACGTCAGGATCCACAACAAACCATGTACACAAACATAGAAAGGCTATTGTCATCAATGCGAAAAGGAACGAGTTCAAAAGAAGAGTGCGGTCTTTTGAATTGAGGGGGTTCCAATAAACCATCCTCGGAGGACAATTAGTCTGATAATCTCCAATTAAGATAAACAAAGGCCTGATAGTACTCACAAGCTCTATCCATTTCTCTCGTTCCACTATCGTTAGATTTGATACGATTACTTGAATAAGAGTTGAAAGAATCACTATTTCCAGTTACATAACTTTGCCTATTCCTTTCTGAATAAGTTTCTGAATAAGTTCTATAAAAATCAGGATTCGAAATGGGATGAGAAATCAGTTGAATTTTTTGTTTTTGATTTCGTTTTGATTTTTCTTTTGAAATTTGATTCATAAAGATTCTAATCTGATAAGAAAAACATGGTATCCAAATGCTCAGATTGATGATATTCGCTATCACCCAAAATCCAAACCCAATTTGCATTATCAAAGTAAATGATTGAGATAATTGATTGTTTTCTTTCAACATCGGTAAGATTTGAATGAGCTTTGTACCAGGAAGTTCTGTTATGAACCCTTGAGAAGTACAATTAGTTGTACTAGGGAATTTTCCGATTTGTTCAAAGATTTTTATCAATGAAGTTTGTAATGCTCTTGAATGTACGTTAGCAATGATAAAAACAGTAAAGATGGTCACTGTTACTGCTATAGGGATAAAAATCATGATGGCATTTCCGAGGATAGGATTTCGAAGTAAAGATGCCAAACGTGTACGGGCTGGTTGTCCTTCTGGTCGTTGATTTTGACTTATGCCCAAGGTGGCAATCGCAGCGCCCTGAATTGTTTGGACGTTGAAAATTATCAACATTCAACTGGGATCCTGATTGAAAGGTTTCGAAAAACTCATACCCAGACCACACTAAAGTCACGTTTCTCAGTCAGTCATATTCAGAACTTGATCTGATGAGCAAATAGAGTCTCACCAAAAACCTCCTGTCCATAAGGGATACCAAATAAGAGTTTGTACAAGGATCGGATTCGGTAGGACCTGATGAGATATTGCTGATTCAGTCCAGAGTGTTCCCGGTGTAAATTGTGACACCAGAGCCTTAGCGAGGACTCACCCTTCCTTCCCACAACTTTACTTCATCTGTTCCCGAACGCATCGATCGGATCAGCAAACCAAATCGAAGTACTAAGTGAGATAAAGCGTCGAGTTAGGAATCCTCACAAATGATAATCAGTTCAATTCCCAGGGCAACAAAAAGGGACGCCAATGCAAAGGTGGAGCCAACTACATAAAAGCTCGCAAGTCAGCAAAGCGTCTATTTCTCCTAACAAGTAATTCTCATAAAGGTTTAATGACTCGCCATGCGGAGAAAAATAAGTTCCGCTGCTTTTTTTGAGACCACGCATGAACCAAAGACAGCGCTTGTGAGCTCGAATGATCAACGTAGCGCATGTCATCAGAAAGATACTGCAAGTTCGTAAAAATCTAATCACATTGAGCAAACGCTGTGAGAAATGTAATGAAGCCTCAGAACTGGAGACTTACCATCCCGTCAGACCAGCAGCAGCATAAAATGCACCACGCAAGTGAATTCCCGGTTCGGCGCCAATGATATAACTAGCCAATCGAGACTCGGATGTTGGTCTTGATCGATAGATCTTCAATAAATCACAAAGAAATCTCGAAGCGTCCGCCGTTAGTTGATGACTTGTGCTATTGCTCAGACTTGTGCTGTTGTTCAGACTTGTGCTATTGTTCAGACTTGTGCTATTATTCATGATCAGATTAGATTTACTGATGAACCAGGCCCAAGTGAAGCAAGTGAAGCAAGTTATTCAACATGTACATAGTGCTCATCTCGCCAGGGAATTCAAGGATGGACTAGAAGGACCCTTATTAGCTACGAAAACTCAACTTGGTACGTTTTTAGAAATCCTATCACTTCAATTCTTCTCGAGGATATTCCGACCCTTGCACCCAGGCTTGCCTTAAGGGTCTATGTCGGCTTATCATGTCAAGAACGAAGAACTACGAAGCTCCCCAACGCAAAATCCACGAAGATCGATCCTTTTCTAGATCAAGTTATCATTGAAGTCCTTACGAAAAGGTTCACAAGGACAAATGATCCAATCCAACAGACTGAATTCGATGATGAAAAAGTCAAGAAATCACATCTAATTTACAAAAAGCAAACCATACGTTAGAGTGAATGACTGCTTGATAGGCAAGTCATAGATCATGACGACTTACACATCTGGCGATGCTGTTCATGATCAGCATGAGTATTTTTACTTTGTCACTTGAACGCTTTTCCAACTCGAACAAAAACCAAATGTAACATCATAGAGTTAGAACATCATTGGTTCTTTCACACATGGCATCACAAGCACAGAAGAGATGATACCGGGACGCGTCCGGTGTCAAAGTATTCTACATGCATTGCAGGCGAGTGGGTGATCAGGTGGTCTGGGCGATAGCGTCATATTTGGCTGCCTTGAAATCACACCCAGAGAATTCAAGCCATTCCCCCCAGATTTATTCATTTCATTCTAACATTCAAATTGACGTTTTTTTCCAAAAAAGATAAATATAGAGGGACAAGCCTTTCAAGTTTCATGGGCATTTATAGTATTTTACTTTGTATGTCAGTAGTGAAACCCTATGCTGTATGTAGATACAAGGTTAATCACAAAAAAAAAATATCCTTGTTCCAATCCTCATCTTCAGTGGAAGAATCAGATACAACAAACCTGTGTTGACATTGTAGAATCCGGTCCAATGCTTTCCAAACGCAGAAGTTGGTAGAACCCAGTTGGAAGTATTATTCTTGTTGACTTTAAGTGTATCTTGACACTGCAAAAATGATGTATTTTTCCAAGGTGAAAAATGATTGAGTTTAATGCACAAAATGATTGATAATGCAGAATTAATGCAGAATTAATGCAGAATTAATGCAGAAAAACAAATTATTGCAGACTTGATGCATCTTTAATCATTTTGTAAAATAAATGTAATCATTGTTCACCTTGGAAAAACACATTATATTCGCAGTATGATGACGTGTGGGTGTCAATTTTAAAGCATTGGAACTTCAGATGGAGTTGATTAGGCAATAGTGGGGTTCAAGTTGAAACAAATTGGACTTATAATGAGTTTTAAGCAATGTTTGGGAGTCACAAATTATAGTTTTATTTATAAGCCATCCGAGCAGCTTTAGAGCTGCTCAGGTGACTTATAAATTATAAGTCGATGCTTATAATTTTAAGCAAGACAACCTTTTTTTTCACGAAGAAAAAAACATCTTTTGGATTGTGTGTCAACGGCCTTTTTTTTAGTGCTCAACGGTCGATTTTTTTTCTTTTTCTCTCTTGTTGAATCCATAACAGCAGAAATAATGCACTTTGTGAGCCTCTCGTACCTTTGTTTCAGAAGGTTTCAGAGCCTGTTCTTTTTTTACTTAAGACCAACTTTACTTATATATGAGCACTTGTACAAGGCTGTCATTGTGTTTTTTAAGTACCAAGCAGACTAAAAAAGTGGCTCGAGTTGCCTATAATCTTAGCTCAAATTTTTTGACTTGAACCCCACTATTAGTGGGGCAATTTTTAGGAAGCCACCTTGCTTTACCTGGTTATATAACCAGGGCGCGCCACCCTCAAATCCAAACTTAACTAAGTCCCATTGTGCCGGGGTTTATACATAGCAAGCAATGACCAAGGCACGAGGGACTCACTCCTTACCCTGAGCTTTTGGTGTGGTTCCTTGAGATTTTTAGTAGATGAAATTTAGGATTGCCTTTTACCCCAACTTCCCATAATCTACTGTGTAGAAAATGTGGGTATGAAGAAGCGCCTGCTTCTTCTGCATCTTTCTGTCGATTCACTTTTTCACTTGCGTTTGTTGTTATTTTTGTTTCTCAACACAGCAAACAACACGATCCTGAAAATTGGAAATTTGAGCGTGTTGCAAGAATTTTACACAAGACATATACACAGAAACCAAATTTCAAATCGATGAAGTGTGAGGTGTGCAGAGAACAAGGATACTGGACAGATCAAGATTTGAGACATTGCAAAAAGGTCTCAAAGACACTTGCGAGCTCCTCCAATGAACAGGGAGAAGCAACAAACATTGAAAGGCTCACAGAGTGCTTTTCAATAAACATTTCACTTAATTTCATCCATTTGCCTTTCAAAATCAATTGAAATACTACTCATAAAACAGACTGATGAAGCTGATACAAAAAAACAGTTCTAAAGACTCTCAAAGCCTTATAATGTGAATTCTGAGCGATCAGATCAAAGTTTGTAATATGCCATAAGCCCGAGTTAGGTGGCATTGAATCTGATGATGTACAAGTTGATGAGTGTTGATTGATCAAAGAAAAATGATATTAATCTGGTTTGTTAATTGGAGGTGGACTCAAGATTGAATTAAGATAATGATCAGAATGAGTAAGTTCATGAGTTTGAGTTTGATTAGTTGGATGTCTATTGAAATCGAGATGGATTGGTATAGGTGAACGATTCTAAATTTGATGATTCGATGGGCTTGTAGGGGTTCTCTTTGTTTCAGGATAGAATTTGTGAATCATTTACTATTGATTTTGATTGATCTAAAAAGTGCAATGATTCCGTACAAGCAATCATCATTGAGAACTGGTTAATGGGGATTGATTTTGGAAATGAACAATTTTGAAAACCTGTTGTATGTACATATATACACATACACTGGAATCAATCCGCAGTCTCTCCTCCAATTTCAGGATCACATTGTTTGCTGTGTTGAAAAAAAAATAACAACAAACACAAGTGAAAAAGTGAATCGACAGAAAGATGCAGAAGAAGCAGGCACTTCTTCATACCCACTTTTTCTACACAGTAGATTATGGGAAGTTGGGGTAAAAGGCAATCCTAAATTTCCTCTACTAAAAATCTCAAGGAACCACACCAAAAGTTCAGGGTAAGGAGTAAGTCTCTCGTGCCTTGGTCATTGCTTGCTATGTATAAACCCCGGCACAATGAGACTTAGTTAAGTTTGCCCCAAATCCAGCCTCAGCGGGCACGCCCAGGGCGCTCCCCAAGGGTGCGCTTATCATGCCACACCCACCACATGAACCTGGGCTCAACTCTGTGTTATGCCTGGGACATTTTGTAACAAAATCAAATTCTTGAAGAAATTCAAAATCCCAAAATATCAGCAATACAGCTACATACTTGGGTGTAAAGGGCATTGTTGGGATTTACCAAGTGTTGTGCATCTTTCTACAGTGATAAACAAAGTTTGTGGGAATGTTTTTATCACACATCTTCATTTCCCTGGGGGATCAGAAATGTAATGCTGGATAATGATTAGCCATGTTCAAACCTAACCTGGTTGAAAAAAAACAGTACACCCAGTTGTGGTTTGGGTGGTAGCTGTGCATCTATTGACAGACTTTGACAGCTTCCAGCCAAAAATTTGAAGGGGTGTACCCAGTTTTTGTGCAACTGGGTTAATTTAAACATGGCTATTGATGAACAAAGTGCCAGCTGTAAACCTATGGGGAAACAAAAGCTATTAGATCTTTGAAATCACAATTTCAGTGATACAGCTACATACAAGGGCTCAGATGGTACTGTTTGGATCCAATTTTCATTTTCTTGGGGGATTAGAATTGTAGTGCTGGATAATGATTGATGATGGATTGGCAACCAGACAAGGCATGAGGTAGATTGCCTTTCCCTGATAAAAGGTCTTGATCTCAGCTTTGGGAAAGAACAGATGATCTTGTAGGCAAGGTTTTGAGGTCTTAAAGGCAAGTGTCTCTCACACTGGTTTCTACCCCAAACCTATCATTTTTCCTTTCTTTCCCTTTGGGTCTTAGAATCCATCCTTTCCTTCTTTTTACCTCTGGATCATCCTTGTGAAACCAAGTCTATCAAGACTTGGTTTTTGTGTCGATCCCACCCTCCCCACCACCTTTGGAAGTTGTCTCTAGTTCAAGTTATTCCCTACAACAGGGCTAAGCACTACCACCCTTGTGCTTAGGTCCCTGTTTTTCTTTGACATACTCTCATGTTTGGTCCCTTCTTTTATGTCTCCCCAGTTTTAGGCAAACACAACAAACAGACTTTCTCCTCTGGCAGTCCTGGAACAGTCTTCTGAAATATTCTGTGTCCCCAGTCCCCCTCATGAGCTGGTCTTTGTATTGAGGTTTTGGAAGAAATCCTCACCCCACACACGTGAAACCCTTTTCACATCTACATCTGAGTTGTCTTAGTCATAAATTTTACCACTTGATAACTGTGTCCTTGTGGTATTTGTCCAACAATAAGTGTACATGGACTGCCTTTGAGGCACAAAGGCAACTTGTGCACGCTTGTCAACAAGCAAATACCACATGGCCATGGTGGAGGTTCTTATTCTAAATTGCAATAAGATTCTTAATTTGAAACCCCTATCTTGAGGATTTTACATCACATGATACTTCTCACCCAAAGCCAGCACCTCCTGAGACCCAAGAAGGTAATGGAAAAAAGTTCCAGGTGTAAGTCTATGGGGAAAGGACAGTTGTTGAATTTTTGAAATCACAATTTCAGTGATACAGCTACATGCAGGGGTGCAGATGGTACTTTTGGAATCCATCAAGTGTTGTGCATCCTTCTACAGTCATGAACAAAGTTTGTGGGGAACATTTTTCTTGACAGATTTTCTGTGGGCATTAGAAAAGTAATGCTGGAAAGAGTGATGAACAAAGGTTAATACATGAGTCCACGGGCAAGCAAAAGTTTTCGAA